GTGATAGCTATATTAATCTGTTCCAAATGATCTCCAATAGTCAGTCAAAGTTCTATAAACTTAGTGATCAATCCAGCTTAGTTCTTAGTTTCATCAGCATTATATACTGAGATCAGAGCAGCAGTTGCTTTAGTCAGAAGATGATATCTGTCAATGAAGACATGATTGATGGAGCTTTCTGTGCATCTACTGTCAATCAATGCTGTGATAGTGAAGATGGTTTGATCTATGAGAGTCTGGATCTGCATCTTGGTCATGAGATTCTGTCTATAGATCTTTTGTCACTGAATGTATTTCTTTAGCCCCTGAAGCTTGTCAAGCCATTCCAGAGCCCTTCAGCATTCAGCCCCTTATAGCTCTATTACTATCTTATTGTCTGCTTCACTAGTTTTGGTTTGGTGAATCTAAGTTTTGAGCATTATAAGTGCTTCTTCAGAGTTTTATGCTTTCTTTATAGCCCATCAAGTTCATTCAGTCTTGAATGGTTTTAGCCAACCAACAGGGGCCTCTCTTCCTGTTCAGCCCATAGGTATTTGAGCTTTGTTGATATGTGATTCTTTTGGTGTGTTGATAGGAGAGGTAACTCAGAGTAGATTTAAATGCATGTAAATAGTTTTATCTACAAGAAGCATATGAGTCCAATCCTCAGCTATATTTAACACACCAATAAGTCCTTTAGCTGAGCTAGCAGAATTACTCACTAGTCAGCCTTATCTTTTATCTCCTTGACCTTGGTTTTCTTTCCAAGGTCTTTGAGCCCATCTGCCTCCTTCTGCAGCTCTGCTATCTGTGCCTGAATGTCTTCTTAGGTATGCTTCTTCTTCAGACAATCTTGTGACATGTAGCTCTTTTATTCACAGTTAAAACATTTCTCTTCCTTCTTGAGGCAGTCTATGTCTATCAGCTTTTCACTGCTGATGTATATTGTCCTCATCTCTGTCTTCTATGCAGTGTAGAATAGAGTCAAAGTGGTGCTGGTTTTCACTGATAGAGTTCCACCAGTGGTCTTTCCATTCATTAAATTAGGCTTCTTCTGCTTGATTATGATCTCCACACTTGCCACCTTCTACCACAGCCTCTTTTTATTCATCTTGATGATTTTATTCTTCCACACATCATAGTCTTTCAGAATATTGATGCCTATATCAGAAATTATTTTGATGTAAGACAGAGGCACCCTCATCTTTAGATACTCAACCATGCATCTATTGTCATTAATGCCCTCTCAAACCCCAGCCAGAGTCCTGAGGTGTTCCAGTTTGTCAAAGTACTCACTGGCAATCTTATCACTCATGCACAACTCCTTCATCTTGTTCTTATGGACTTCTTGGATCATGGGGTTGATGAATTTATCCTGGACTATCTGTTTAAAGATAGGCCAAGATAGATATTGGTAATATTATTGGGTTGCAGAATGAAAGGTCAGAGAAATGAGTATCCACTATCTCTTGGTCTTGTTTTCAAAGTATAAAGCTGCAAAGGTGACTTTGTTTATGTTGACACTAAGACAGGCAATATACATCTCAAAGTATTATTCACAATCAATTAAAAAGTGATCAATGTTATCTGATGCTCCTTTAAATGGTCAGAGGATTCAGAGAAGATCAGGTTTGCATTGGAGCATAGCTGCATTCTGGAGTAGGGCCTCCATTGGATTGGAGTACTTGTCAAAAAGAGGTTGGTGTCATTTGGTTGGTGATCTTAGAAGGGAATGGAGAGAGTCATCTTTGGTGATAGAGCTCTCTGTTGGTGGATTTTCTTTTCACATGATGTGTCTGTTCCTGTTAGACTCAAACCCCACGTGACTATTAACACGTGATGATAAACCGATTGAACCTCGCCTTCGGGTTAAACAATCAGAGTCCACCGAATGTCAATGTTGTCGATGTGAGTCAAGGCTTCCAAGTAGTGATAGCTCGAGAGTAGTTTGGTGAAAATAAACTTTAGTTCGAGCTTGGGATACTACAGCGAGAACTAAGCTACTTAAATATCGTTCTGTTATCGTTTTATAAATAGATTGTGGTCCTGCTGTGTCCCCTGTCTTTTGTCAGTCTCCCTTTGAGAGTCATTCCTGCTGTGTGCTGTTACTGCTGTTACTGCTGCGGTTACTAAGAACGCTATTGTCCTGCTGTGTGCTGTTACTGCTGCGCCATGGTTGAAAGATAAAGAGGTCATTGTCCTTCCCTTCACAGCGCACAGCCATCGGATAAGACAATGACCGATCCAGGTTGCCGGGCTAGGCGTTCCCACAGTCATAAGCGCTGGTCTAGGCGCCCTTCCCTTTACAGCACGCAGCTCTCCACGAATGTTATTGTCCTGCTGTGTGCTGTTACTGCTGCTGTTGCTGGTCCTCCCACAAAGGCTGTTGTCTGATCAATTGTCATTGCTGCTGTTACTGCTGTTGAGTGACAAAAGGAGCATTGTCTTCCCTTCACAGTGCACAGCCGTACGATAAGACAATGACCGACTGGGTTGATGAGCTAAGCATTCCCACAGTCCTAAGCGCTGGTCTAGGCGCTCTGACTAGCAGGAATAGGGGTCGTTTCCGGGAAAAGGAAAAGGAAAATAGAGAAAAATGGAAAAATCATAACATTACCCCCTCCTTAAGACCATCGTCCCGATGGTTAAGTTAGGGTAGACCTCCTCCCTCGGAAGGAGGTGGTCGATCTGCTGGACCCATTCGTCGGCTTTGCAGATTCATAAAGACATTGACCAGAGGTCGTCGTTCTGCTGGACCCGTTCGTCGTCTCGGTATTAATGGTAGGTTGGTGTCTGTCCTAGGGATAATATTGAACATGACCATCCTGTTGTCAACCCTGTTGATTCGCTGTTCGTAGTCATGGATTGCTGCATTGGCGTCCATATATTTTCCGTCGATCAGGCGATCGGAGTGATTGCCTTCGAGAAGCGATCAACAATGACGATGATTGCATCATAGCCGTCACTTTCGGGGAATCCGGTTGCTGAAATATTGGTCCATGGTGATGAAAGGACTTGATTCCCGCACAAAGGGGCCGCTCTGGGTTGTGTTGAAGTCTTGCCTCGTTCGTAGACCTCACAGCTTTTTTCGACATATCGGTTGATATCATAGTCCATTTTTGGCCATCAGTACCTCTGAGTACTGACTCCTTCGTTTTCAAACCCCGGGATTGCCGGAGTCTCATGGTCGTGGCTAATGGCGATGTCATCTCCCCGTAGTTTCTATGGTTTTTTATGTTGTGACTTTCGATGGGCAGGCTGCCTGTGGATCCATCGTATTCATCGTGGACATTGCTCTTCGCTGTATGTCCCATAGTTTGTTTCGTTACAGGTGTAACATCCCCTTGTCGCCACTTTGTCGGTTCATATTTTTGGAGTCATTTTCATCGTCCTCTGCACATGTCTTCTGCTGATGGGGATACCATTATTTTTAATCCCCTTCATATCTCGTTGGTTGGTTCAGTCTACTGTTCGATCGAGTGATGGACTTTGAGAGGCAATTAATGATGCCTTCGGGAAGTCCAGGTTTGATCTGGTCCATTGGTTCTGTGTTCTTGTTCCCATGGTCCTATCATGGAAACCTTTCGTTTGGATAGGCTCTCCTTTGCCATTCCCTGTTTCGGTACTCCTGGAGCGTATTCCAATGGGGTAATGCCGTTACCCGGAGGGTGTTGGTATTACGACGAGGAATTTGTCCCTCCTGAGTGCTTTGGACAAGTTCGTTTGTCCGTCCTGTTGTCTATAATTCTCCTGCCCCAGGCAAAGGAGATGGCCGATCTGCTGGACCCGTTTCATTGTTGAATCTATCCATGCAGATTGGTGTTTTTCAGGGGTACCGTTAATGATAACTCCTGTATCATGTGATGTTCCTTTTGGTGATCAGATGATCGAATGATGGCCTTCGAGAAGCACTTGGTTGCTTTCGGGAAGGTGTTTACTGACAAGTTGTGTGCCATTTCGGTATCTGTTTCGTCGAGTCATGAGACCCGGTTCCCATGATAGTTTTTCCTTGCGCCCGCACTCGCCTTGAGTGTTGGGGCTGCCTCATGACCCGTTCCATTGGGTCCTATCATTGAACCTATCTCATGGCTTCCCTTGACTTTTCCGAGTTTAGCCTTGATGGAGTCAGCTCTGCCCATCAGTCGGAGTTCCGATCTGCATTGGGAATCCCCCTTTTTTGCAGAAATTCCCTGGTCCTTGGGAATTTCTTCTGGTTCGATACCTGTGATGATCGAGTCATCATTTATGGTTCTCTGGTGACGAAGAGACCTCTTCCTGATTCATCCCTGATGAATTAGGTCCCCATCATTTGAATGTTTGGTTTGATTCAGTGCGTTGAATCGTCTGTGGTTGTCGGCACTTCTATGGGATAATTCGTCTTCTCGAGAAGCGCTGATCATGTTGGTGAATGATCCGTCGGTCGGAGTCAATCTTCCTGTGGGGTTAGGGCTACCCCTTCGATCCAGTCCGTCAGATCTAGGGTAGTCAAATCCTACCCTTCAGAAATGGCTTCCTCCATCATTTCCTTCCTGTCATGGCATTCCCGTGATTTGATCCAATGAGATAATGTCGGTGCTTCGAGAGTGTGACTGTTATAGCGAGGTGCATATCTCTGAATGCCTTGTTTAGAAGAGTGGGTTGTTGTATGACGTCCTTATCATATATCTGAAATCAGAAAGTTATTAGTATATGTCGGTTAGGTATAAGGTCTCCTGATTGGTCCTGTGTAGAAATTCCCCGGTTTCTTGGGGAATTTCCTTGTCGCGTGGTTTTGGCCGATCCTTGATCCCTGATCATTGATCGGCCCAGTGTTCTGCGTTCCGTCGGTTCGAACAATGTTTGTCTTGTTCGAAGAGTGGTTCTACTGTTCCCCGGTTCCTTGGGGATGTCGTTACTGGTTGTTCAGTTAAGCTGTCATAAGTTTATTAGGATTCTCATGATCCAAATATCTATTATAAAAAGAAAATGTTAATTTGTCAATTTAGTCTGTGGCCGAGTTTCTGTGTTCATTCAATGCCCGACTATTTGGGCTCCTGGATCCCGTGGCCGTATGCCATGGCGATCGCCTCGGCCCTTTGTCGTTTTCGTTCTTCGTATATCTTGATGGTTCGGCCCTTCCATTCGTCGTAACCATCCGGGATACACTGTTCTTTGATTGCCATGAGGTAGATGGGTGGTAGCCCCATCTTGATACATTCGACCATGTATCCTGTGTCGGTGATGTCATCCCGTACCCCAGCCAGTGTACCGAGTCGTTCCAATGTTGTGAAGTAATCGGTAGCCGTTTTTCCTGCTAGTTTGTGTTCCATCATCTGTTGTTGGTAGATGTCAGGAATGGTAACTGTCGGGGTCGGGATTTCCATGTCAGGTGCATGCGCCCATCCTTGGGCGATGCTACTGGTTTCCGTGTATGGTGGCGGCTGTTCGGCAGGTGGTCGTGGTTCCGTCGGCAGCTTCCTTGGTTCTAGATGTTGCCGAATTGCCTGTGATTGATTTTGGTCCTGCCGAGATGCCGTTCCGGGAAAGGTGCAAGTGTTATGCAGGTGCCGAGATGATGCCGTTATTGCCGTGAATGCCGATTCCGGGGGTTGAACGTTTGGCCCCCATGGCTTGATTGCTGTCCTTTTGCCATGCCTCGGCTCGTCCGGCTGTGTCGGCCCTGTTTCGTACTGCAAAAATCGTTGATCATAGGTAAAAATGGCCCCCCCGGCCGCATACTGTAAATCCTCCCTTATATGCTGTCTTTCTTCAGATTCAAAGGGAAGGTCCCTGACCTCCCTGATTGAATCTCCCTCCCTGTCGCCCACCTCGCCGCCTATCTCGTCGTCCTGGTCCCACATTTCCCCCTCGAGGAGGGAAATGTCGGCCAGGTCGTATGTTGTCGGTCTAGTGGTCTGGTGGTCGGGTGCTTGGTCCAGCGTCTTCTGGGCCGGGGCGAGGAGAAGACTCTCGCCCAGGCTCCTGCTTGGTCTGTCCCCCTGCTGTGTCCGTCACCACTGTTCTACTTGATCGTAGGCGACTATCGTTGGGCCTGTCAGTGACAGCGTCGAGCTCTTCCTGTCTGGGGACGTCGTTGCTGAAGATGATGATGTCGACGGTGGACGCCCATGGGTCTGATTCGGTGCCGAAGGGGGTGGGTAATGGCAGTGGGGAGTTGATGGTACTGGTGTTGACCAAAGTGGTCGCACTAACGCTCCCCGCTTCTCTTCTCCTCTGCTCCTGTTCCCGTGCCCGGAGATACCTGCCGAAGAGGTCATTCTCCCTGTAAATTTCCTGGTCGCTGGCAGCCTGATTGGCGAAGTCTGCAGCGAAGTTCCGAACAGGTCGTTGTACTGGCCGGTTGACCTCTGACCAGTGGTCGGCATCCCTTCCTGATGTCGACACCGTGTGGTGGGATCCTCGAGCCTGAGTGCTGGTCCCATGAGCCACCTGTGAGCCGTCCAATGAGTCTCTGGCACTGTGTCTAGTGCCAGGGATGAGGGTTGCTGTCCTTGCTGCTCGGATGCTGTGTTGGACGGGCCGGACGGGGGTGTGAGACCTGGGACGTCGAAACCCTGTTGCTCAAGGGTTTCCTTCATTTCGAATGACTGCCGGCGGGGGTTGTGGGGGGTATATGTGCTGTTGGGCCTGTTCCTCTTCTTCCATCGGGTGTTCCGAAGACGTTCTTCCTGAGACATCCTCGGGGTCGACTCCTTCCGGCTGGTCGGGCTGTCGGGACGTCGAAGGTCGAGTGGAAGGAGGGATGTGATGAAGAGGGAGGTCCGGTGTAACATTTCGTAAGATATGGCGGATGCGTTGGAATTCATGATAATGACGGATAGACCAGGCGATAATTGATTGGTGCCCACGACAGAGCTGTACGAGCACCAATAAGACGACCAGTATTCCGATAATGGCAATGAAGAGTTTAAAAAACTCGCGAGTGAAATTTGGGCTAGAGGAGTCGAGGGAAAGGGCCATTTAGTTTCTTGGCACAATTGGGCTTGAGGAAGAGAATGTGCTGGTCTCGGCCTGATTGTGAGGCCCAATTGCCCCGTGACAGGCAACACATGATAAACGGTCCGGCATCCCGCGCTTCGGGCATGTCTGGCCGAGTCCACCAGTGCGTTGGCCGTCCCCTGATTACTTTCGGGAGAAAAACCCCCTTCCCTTTCCACTTCTCCTTCCTTCCTCAGGCCGATATTGGCCTTGGGGATCCTTGGGGTCTCTCCAGTATGGGACCCCCAAGAGGGGGGGGTCCCCTTCGGTTTCAGCGTTGTGCTGCCACTCTCTCTCCTCATTGGTCTGATCGATGTATTGTCGGACTTCCTTAAGGAAGTCTCCGTTGAGGAAGAAGGTGGTGAGCTTCTTGTGCAAGAACCTTCGAAGGGTTCGATTGCTGATCTGAGGTGATGGCCGCGTTGCCATCCTTGCCTTGATGGTCCAGTCGTGGGACTCATCATCTGCCAGGGAGCTACTGCTCCCTGATTTGTTGGCTGTGGGTCCATTTGGACCGTTCTCTCCTTCGTCGATGGTATCCCACCGGTCACCCTTGTAGGGGTCGTCCTTGGGATCCTCGTTCCATTCGGTCCCTGGGGGCCACTTTCGTCCTCTGGCAGGCCTGCTGCCTCCTGTTGATCGAGGATCGGTACGTCGATCCTGATCATTCCTCGGTTCGTCCCAGCGATCTGGGGCATAGGGGTCGTTTTCGGGATTTTCATCCCATTCTGTTCCTGAGGGCCATTTTCGGCCCTGTGGTGGTCGTTTTGATGGAGAAGGTCCCCATCCTGTTGGTCGGCCAAGTCCAGCCAACTGTCGGTGCTCTTCATCGAGCTCCTTCCCCCACGGCTCGACCTCTTCTTTTTCCACCAATGCGTCGGTGGAGTCAGCGCCGGGGGTTGGGATTGGTGGGGCTCCGTGGAGGGATCCCTCCTCCTTTTCTTGAACAAGACCTGTCTGGCCCAGGCCTTCAGACCCTTGTCTTGGTCTTTCTTTGGTAATTCGGGCCTCGGTAACGAGGCCGTTAATGAGTTCTTGGATGGTGTCATCCCTGGTTCGATAATCCCTGATTATCCTTGTTGTTATTGTTTCTAAGAGAACGGTTAGCAATCCAATAGAGGAAGAGGGTACTTCGGAATTGGTAGAGCTGGTGTTGGAAGACATTTAGTGTCTTTGATTGAAGCGTTCGGTTCTTTTTTTAGCTTTTAGGCTTTTAAAGAAGGGAAGCTAGGGAAGCTCGAACTAATTGTTAGACTCAAACCCCACGTGACTATTAACACGTGATGATAAACCGATTGAACCTCGCCTTCGGGTTAAACAATCAGAGTCCACCGAATGTCAATGTTGTCGATGTGAGTCAAGGCTTCCAAGTAGTGATAGCTCGAGAGTAGTTTGGTGAAAATAAACTTTAGTTCGAGCTTGGGATACTACAGCGAGAACTAAGCTACTTAAATATCGTTCTGTTATCGTTTTATAAATAGATTGTGGTCCTGCTGTGTCCCCTGTCTTTTGTCAGTCTCTCTTTGAGAGTCATTCCTGCTGTGTGCTGTTACTGCTGTTACTGCTGTGGTTACTAAGAACGCTATTGTCCTGCTGTGTGCTGTTACTGCTGTGCCATGGTTGAAAGATAAAGAGGTCATTGTCCTTCCCTTCACAGCGCACAGCCGTCGGATAAGACAATGACCGATCCAGGTTGCCGGGCTAGGCGTTCCCACAGTCATAAGCGCTGGTCTAGGCGCTCTTCCCTTTACAGCACGCAGCTCTCCACGAATGTTATTGTCCTGCTGTGTGCTGTTACTGCTGCTGTTGCTGGTCCTCCCACAAAGGCTGTTGTCTGATCAATTGTCGTTGCTGCTGTTACTGCTGTTGAGTGACAAAAGGAGCATTGTCTTCCCTTCACAGTGCACAGCCGTACGATAAGACAATGACCGACTGGGTTGATGAGCTAAGCATTCCCACAGTCCTAAGCGCTGGTCTAGGCGCTCTGACTAGCAGGAATAGGGGTCGTTTCCGGGAAAAGGAAAAGGAAAATAGAGAAAAATGGAAAAATCGTAACAGTTCCATATTATGAATCCAAGGCATATGGCCTTGAGGTTGTCCTTGCCTTCAGTTGTTTCATCTTATGGTAGTTGTCTCTCAAGAAGTTGACTTCTTTGGTCTGTTTAAGAATTTCAGAATCTGACTGATCATAATGGTTCTTGAGATTTCAAGTGTGTGAGCTGAGATATGAGTTGTTAGCCTAAGAACTCAGATCATGGGTACCTGGAACTGGTGGTTCAAATAGAGAGAGCTGAGTATATAGTGTGGCTGGATGGAATTAGTGGGCTATTTAGCATGAGTTGAACCTTGTGTTCATAGACCAGCAGGTCTTTGAGCCAGTTCTCAGGATGCATTCTGTTGTAGATGTAAATAGCTCAGTCAGTAGCAGCATATTGTAAAATATATTATTTTTCCTCGTTATCTGTAACTGAGGACTTTCTTTTCAAGAAGATCATTAGCCAGCTAATATCCCACTATAGCTTCACTACTTCCTCTTGGTATAATCTTTTGAATTCCTCTTCCTGACTTCTATAGATCTCTTCTTTAAGCACTTCTTCATCAGTGTCTTCATACTATAGCCAGAGGTTAATCTCAGCTGAGATATCCTCCTCATCCTCTTTGTCTCCTCTATCTCCATCATCCACCTCACTCTCCTCAAGGAAGTCAGCAGGCAGGTCATAAATAGATGGCTTGAGAGCTCTGACTGTCACTGGGGAGCTCTCAGTTGATTTAGAGTTTGGTTTCTGCACTGGTGGTTCTAGAAGGAGGCTGCTGGCAAGGTCAGAAAGGCCTGATGCCTCTGTCTGCCTCACATGTTCTTTCTCTCTCCATTCTCTGGCTATATTAGTGGGAGTCCCCATAGAACTGCTCATTGAGAAAAAGAGCAGCAATACATCTATATAAGAACCTTCAAAGAGCTTGATTAGAGATTCTAGCCTCTAGAGGTACTCAGATACCATATCCTTCAAGGATTGAACTGGCATCAGAGGAAAAAAAAGTGTCACTGTTGACACTTTCATCATAACTGAGAGGAGGGGATCTATTGATTTGTCAGGCTTCATCAGCACTAATAATCTCAGCAGGTCTGCTCCAAAGATCTTCTTTATTGTCTGGTCTCCACTCATGGGGATCACTGTCTTTGCTTTTAGTGTATAGTCTGTAGTGCTTGAGTGAGATCAAGCCCCACTCTGCTGTCTGTGCTTTTCACTGTCTTTGTCTGTACTATGTGTTATAGTAGATGTTGTTGGCCTCCTGCTATCAATAGGCAAGCTCTTCTTCCTTGAGCTAATTGAAGTATTCTTCTCTCTCTATTCACTTGACATCTCAGCATATGCTATAGTCCCAGTTGGATAGATAGAGGTTGCTAGAGGTTGAGGAAAGGAGACTAAAGGTCAGGAGTATAGAGCTTTCTCAAGAGATAATGTATCTAAAACTTCTTCCTTCAGTTCTGTGAGTGTTATCAATGGAGTCCCTGGCACAGTCTCCAATGCTAGACTCAGAGAGAGTGATAGAAGAGTTGGGAGATGGTGACTCCTCAAAGAAGTTGCTGAGGAGGTTTTCATCTTTATAGTTTGGGACTGAAGAAAAGTGTGGTGGGATACAGAGATTTCTGAATCCTGTGTCCCAATGCTCATTATGTCTGCTAGCTGTTCAAGAGGGTTTGACTAATTGTCAGAGTTCTTCTTCTTTCAGAGTGCATCTTTCATTCAAGCAACCAGTTTCAGCTTTAGATACAGTTCTAAATGTAGGCTGGAAGGAAGTTTGAGCAGAGAAGAGGATGTTATAGAGAGAGAGGTTGGGCATGACATTTTGGAAGATATATTGAATTTATCAAAAGGAGTGGCAGTGTCTAACTATCCAGGCTGTGATTGATTAATGTCCACAGCAAAGTTGTATAATAGCTAGTAAGTCTAAAAGTGTTCTGATAATAGAAGCTAGAAGCTTGAAGAAGTCATTGGTAAAATCAGAGATAGATATGTCTGATGGTGGCATTTGGTTTTCTTTGCTCTTAGTTGATGTAAGAAAAGAGAAGTAAAAGCCTCAAGCTAATTGTTAGATCCAAGTGATATGTGATTACAAATATATAATAAATAAGTACTGTATCAAGTTCATACAATAATGTCTGAGTTCACTAAATGTGTATAGTGATGTTATATCCTAAGGTTAATATAAGTTGACTCAAGATAAAGTTGTATAATAAAGAATAGCTTGAGGCTAGAGTTATATAGTGCTTTCTATGTTACTTATATACTATTTACCTCATAGATAAATATAGTTCTACTAATTATGCATACTCGAACTATAGTGCTTATTGTCCTGAAGTATTATAGTTACCTACAAAAGAGGTGTTATCCTATTATCAGAGTATCACTACATATCATGAAATAATAGTCAGTTGTGCTGATTAAAATTATCTCATGGTCCTAAGTGCTCATTTAGATGCTTTGACTAAGCATGAATAGAGATAAAAGTGAAGAAAAGAAATAAAAATCATAACAAATAATTTCTAAAAGAAAGAGTTATAGTACTCTTCCTTAACTCCAGATATTATAGAAACTTCTGCATCCATTGCCAAAAACTGAAGGCACACTGAGTGAGAGGCAGCCACTGAGAAGACATTGAGATTAGCACTAGCTGACCTCTTGAGCAGTCTCCTCCTCAGACCAACAGTAATAAGGCTGAACTTAGCACAAGGAACAACAACCAGTTCTCTAGTGACCATCAAGGTCTCTGCTCTATCTATCTACAACCAGCTCAAGAGCTCCTCCAACAAGGACAGTGAGGTTAAGAGAGATGACAAGGGCAAGGATGACAAAGAGAGGATTTGAGATGTCTCTATTAAATGAGGCAAATAGGAATATGCAGCAGAAGATACCAATGAAGAAGTGCTGAAAGAAGAAATACAATGATATAGAGAGGAGGAGTTCCAGGAGTTATATTAAGAAGGGATGGTGTTTTTATAGCAAGATGCCAAGTGGTTAGTATTGACAATAGAAAGAAAGTATATTTATACAGATAATAATGAATAGCAGGATATTCTACAGTATTCTGTTTTGGAATATGCTATTCACATTTACAACAGGAGGCATTCTAAAGACCAACTCAGCAAGCTGCCAAAGTACAAGTCCAAGTATGACATCCAGCTAATGCTGTGGACTCTTTTAGTAGCACTGAAACAGACCATCTACATGGCTCTATCTATCTGAACCACTAGAAGCTGGTACTCTTATTCTATGCCATTGGTCCAGTCTTCAGCAACTTGGCTGTCTTAATTTTAACCCTAGCCAACCATCAAACCTGTCAGATTTTGAAACCTATAGACCAGCAGAGAAAGCCAACTTCTTGGTGGACAGCCACTCCCTGATGAAGCTGAAGAGAGTAGCAAGAACTCAGTGAAGGATGACCCTGAGATGATCTGCTTTGAATTTACTATATGAAATGGAGTAATCATGTGAAAAAAAGTTAGGCTGATGGAAATCCCTGTCATAAATGACAATTCTCTCCACTCATTCTCTGGATCACCAACTGAATAGCATCACCCTCCCTTCAATTAATGGCTGAACCCAATGGGAGCATTATCTGAAAATGCCACTGTTTTACAATATCACTCCAACTTGTTAAGAAAATCCTGCCCTTTCAAGAGCATATCTGATAACATCAACCAATTTCTCATTAACTGCAAGCAGTACTTTGAGGTGTATGCCACCTTTCTTGGAATCATCAATTTAGCAGTACAGAAGATTCACAAGTCAAAGATCAAGAAGCACAAGATGGGTGATAAGTTAGCAACTGAGTATTTCAATGAGCTGGAGCATCTTGCCAAACTCACTGAGATCTGAGATGATATTGACAACAATGGCTGAATAGTCAAGGCCCTCAAATAAGACACCCTACCTTCTTATATTAAAATGATCTCAGATATCAGGATGAACATTCTGAAGAGTTACAATGTATGAAAGGAATGGATTGTCAATATGTATAAGGAATGACAGCATCAGAAGGCAGAACAATCTAACCTCTAAGAATATCACAAACCAAGTCAGCCACAGAATTCAAGCAACTCAAAATCCAGTAACCAAACTGGCACCACCAAGACTAGCATACTGTCCATCCCTTCATATAGA